CTTCACCAGATTTCTACAGAAGTTTGAGATAAAACCAGAGGATCCCGAGTGTTTACCTTCTCTGGAGGGATCATTGGGTGTAACTAACACGCCTCAATCCTTTAACCTGAGACTTGTAAAACGTTAAAATTCAATAATCATAGAATGAATAATATAGCTATTGAAAAAAAAAAGATTTTTCAAATCACTACATTTTCAAATGAATATATATTTTATTAATACATACGTTCTATTAATTGACACACCTTTTGACCTTTTTTTCGCTGATTTATATTCCTTATTTCTGTGCTTCACAGTTTGTATCCTTTCGGCTGGAAAGGCAACCTTGTTTGGTTCCCCAGATCTTCCGACTTTGATGTTTATGTCTCATAAAATAATAACTTTTTACTGAAAATTATTTTCAAATAAACATGAAAAACTATGAAGTTTTGATCTATTTTTACACCTCAATTTGATTTCATATGATTCATAAAATTTCTCACTTTAATACAATTTTTCCTTGTTATTTATAGTTATAGCTTCATGAGGGTCATGGTTGATAAGGATAGGAAATATAGTGTCGTGGGCTTCTTAACTTTTCGTTCTTAATGTTTGTTTTTAGAAAACATGTATTAACCATGACATTTCTTCAAAGGTAATCATTATATTTAATCATAATTATAAAAGTAAAATAATCAAATCTGCAATAAAAGCACCTACTATGCAATTTTATAAATTGAAAATTGGTCAAGAAATATATTTTTGCTTCAAAATATAGATATCCAGGAATTAAGAGAACATTGCATGTTTTTTAAATAAATTTAATCGCAGTTTTATATTTTTTTTTTTGTAAAAGTAAGCCAAACTCTAAGATCAAGAGGTAAGATATGTTGCTACCCAAAGAAAGGCCTTGTCACCAGAAAACACATTTGAAATATGAGGGCCATAGACTCTAACAATCAAAAGTTATGGGGAAATTATTTGCAGGCAAACAAATAAACAGACAGACGGATGGAGAGGGTAAAAACTATATACCCTCGAATCTTCCATTTAGAGAGAATACAAATCAATCTGTGTAAAAATATCAAGTCAAATAAACATTTTTCAGGATTTGTTCATATGACAAGAATTAACAAGAATATAAGTAAAGTTATCCTGATTGATTGACGACAGGACAAAATGTCTGTTTGGGAGAATCGCTAGCCAGAATATTTGGAGCTTTTTTTTATTCTTCAGCACTTTTCTACAGAACTTTGTGATAAAACCAGAGGATCCCAAGTGTTTGCCTTCTCTAGAGGGATACTGGGAATAAACAACTCGCCACAAAAATTTAAAATAAGACTTTCAAAAAGGCAGAACTTAAAAAGTTTATCATATTGTAAATAGTTATAAGAAAAGATTTTATTATTGATTTAAAAATGTTAACATTCCCAAATATTTTTGGATATAAGAAAAGAAGTAAAAATATTTTCTCATGCACTACCATGATGAGCAAAAATATTTTCATTTTTACGTCATAATGTCGTTCTTAACTTCAAAGTAAAGTCCAAACTGTTTTGTTTTAAAAATGATTATTAAATTAAAAAAAAAATATGTCGATTCATTAAAAAAGATATGGAGATAACGAACAGTATTCAGTCTCAAAGTCCATAAAACAATACAAATAATGTAAATAGAAGATAAAAATTTTTGAGAATTGTCAAGATACATGAATACAACGCTTCACATCTGCATATTTCCCATTAATGAGCATCGTAATTCCTGTCATATGACTTTTAAAAATTAAAGTCATTCCCTAAGTAGCTGCGGTTATAATTTTCCCATAAAACATTTGTAGATTTAAAAAAAAAAACATAGATTTAGTCCTGTTCTTATTTACAAGATACAATACTCGAGACAAGACTATTTAAATGTATACGCATCTGTTCTTATTTCCATTAATGATATTTTTCAGATGGTCAACTTTGTGATGGAGGAATTATATCAATTATCATGGAGATGTATTTATGCAATAATTATCTGTAATAAAAATGTTCAACATAATTTTTTTCTCCTAAATTCTTTTTAAAAAGAATATTTTTCGATTACCCGGAAATCATAATGACAATGTAAAATTTACATTTTATTATTTGAAGGGAAGTTCAAAATACAATTTAATCAAAGTACCAGCTCAATCAATATAATTATCACTATCAATCCGCGTGTCAAAACATTTCACTTAACTTAAGATAATTTTGTTGTTGATTAACTTGAACATTATACATTTTGAAATAGTATTATTCTGGGGCCATTTAAGCAAATGGAAACTTCAAATATGCTAACGTTATGTTTGATATATTTTATCAGGTTTGCGATGTAATACTTTATTATAATTATTTTTTTTTTCAAGATAATAAAGTAAATGGGTGTCTTCAGAATTATATTTCATTTTCCTCAATCTTGAACATCTAGCATCATTTACATGTTATTATAAATACGAGGTTTGTCCCGTAAAATCGTGGACAAAGCGTCTTTCTCCAAAAGTAATGGGCGCACTAAGCTGAAAATTTCAGTAAATGTTTATTTATCATATTTAAGTGCATGATAATTTTTTTGATAAAATAAAGGCAACAATAAAGATTTCATTAAGCTTGAATGTGCATGAGGTATTACACTTCGGCGCACGGCCAAAAAACCAAGGTTTTATTAAAGAATACACAAGTTTGAATTCAATAAAAGTTTTAAATATACCTATAAGAATTGGATTAGAATTATCCTAATTCAATTCCACAATCAATTTTGTAGTCTTTGTAAAACTTATAAGGCATTTGCGTAATTTTTGGCAGTTTCTCGAGCATTCGAAATGGGAAAGTGGTAAACACAACACACGAAAAATGGCGACGTTTTATAGCCTAACGGCGCAACGGAGAACAGTTCAGTTTTATTTCGATGTTGTAATGACACCTTTAGAGACTTGAAATGACCATAGAAGAAAAAGGATTATAAAAATATCACCATATCTTAAGTTTACAAATGAAATAGGAGTTTTCTTAGCGAAGTTTTTTTTTGATCGAGTTTCTGTGGAGTACAAAACATACGGACAAACTCCTTATGTAATAGCAAAAGACGCTGTCACAGTAGACCGCCGATATGAGATTTTTATTTAGTTGAATGATTGTGAGAATATTGTCCGTAACTTACTAATAAATCTTCAGAAGATCGCATGAGGGTGCCAAATGCTTCTTCGGCTGTTTATTGAGACTTAAGAATGTGTATCAATGAAATTTCTAAATCTAAGTCGGACTCTTCTAACTTCATTTCATCAAAGATAAAACGTGACGCTGTTTTTGACACTTTGACGTTATAATTCATGCGCCGTAAGGTGATAAAATACATAGCATAAAATCTCATAATTTGTTTTTTTTATGCAGATGTTTATCTGAAATTTGCTGTGTATTACTACTAAAATATGTACTAAATAATAGTGAAAATTTCAGAACGCAGTGATGTTTATTTTTCACACTAGACAACTTGTCAACGATTTTACGGGACAACCCTCGTAAGTCGAGTTATATTCAGGTTAACAATTTCTAGAGCTTCACTCCGACAAAATGGCGTTAACTTTTTGCGCCAATGTATCCGGAAACATAAAAGAATGAGATGTACCGTACAAAAAGAATATTTTTGAAAATTAAGAGAAAAGAAGGGAATATGACTATAACATATATTTAAAAGGGGACACAAGGATAAAGATTCTGATAATCAGAGAATAGATGCATCACCTGCAATTTATAAAACACTTTTCCTGGAAGTACGTCAAAGGTCAATGACAGTTTGACTGTACACAATGCTAATATTTTTCAACATGTTCTATTGCAAAACATAACCTATCTCTAAAATTCAAAAGAATATGTGCATATCGACACTATGGAGTATTTGAACAGAGGTGCATAGGTCAAGTCCAATGTAACAAGTCAGTAGCCCCGGTATTTTTACAAAACCATATTTCCAAGCAATTCATCCAAAAATCAAATCCCTACCTCTTACACCTTAGTCTGTGTGTCAGACTGAAAAACAGACAGACAAACAGACAGATGCCAGGAAAATGATCCCTAAGTGTCGCTCGCTCCGCTCTAAAAGCGCCACACAAAACAAATAAAGTAGAAAAATAGAAAGGAAAAAATAGAGTTATGGCACAGAAAAGCAACCATACAGCAAAGTTCAATGAATTTAGGACACCATATAAAGTATTTTGCACTATGTGGATGACATTGGCCATTGAAAGGTCAATATAATTTGTCGAGCATGATTAAGTATCTATAATCTTTGAGAAAATACACATAAGTTTTTTAACATTTATATTGGAGTATAAGCGGCCTTCGGCGTTGAAACTTCTAACCTTCAATTTTAGCACAGTAATGCAACCATACATTAGGAGTTCAATAAAAGTAGGTTACTATATACATTTTGCACTATGTGGGAGGCGTTAGCCATTGTTGCTGTATTACTTTCTTTAATATGGAGCCTAACTGGACGACCGAAAGGACTTCCGCCTGGTCCTACATGTTACCCCATCATCGGCAATGTCGGAATCTTCAAACCGTCAGAGGGTCTGAAAGCTCACAGGAGACTGAGGAAGATTTATGGAGACATCTATACCATAATGATCTTCCATAAACCTATAATATTTGTACACGGATTCGACAACATACGGGCATTACTGGTCAAACATGGCGATGCCACCTCTGAGAGACCAAGATCCCTTTCCAGTGATTTAGCTCAAGGAAATGGTAAAACAATAGCACATTAGTTTTAGATAACAATATGATGGATCTATGAAAAGACTAAGTCATACAGAGTACTGAGAGCCGGTATGGTTATAAAGAACCTTTAATTTTTTATGCGCCCTGATCGATAGATCCGAGGCGTATATTGTTTATGTCCTGTTTGTCTGTCTGTCTGTCTGTCTGTCTGTCTGTCTGTCTGTTTGTTATTTATTTTTGTTTGATTGTCTGCAAAGTTTAACCTTCGCCATAACTTTGAAAGATAGAGACTTCATACTTGGTATGCATATCCTATAAATCAAGTTTTTTCAAATGACACCAAGGTCAATGACCTTGTGACCTTAAATGTGACTAATATGCTAAAATTAGCTTTTTTTCGAAATTTGTTGCCGCCCGGCGCATAGTGTTTCACAAACACATCTTGTTTTTAATGAACACTAGATGAAATGCCGTGCAAGCGTTACAAATTGAATTAATAGAAACCATTTCCAACAGGAAATATATTGTAGTTTGTTTTTAATGACAGAATACAGTCTGATAGAAGGATGAAATACGTGATTAAAATCCTGCAAGAAGTAGATGTACGTCACCATCGACACCCACTTTTGTAAAAAACTTGAAAAAGAATAAAAAATTCACGTTTATCTGAAACCTGTTATAGAATGTTAAAGTTATTGATATTGTAATCCAGATATACTTATTTCATTTCCGTGAAGAATAAAAGCAGCGAATATTAACAATTTACCGATAAATTGATTTTTTTGAGGGGAGGATGGGTAAAAATTGATGTGTACTTGGGTCTTGGTTTGTAATTATAAAAGTACCTTATTGATATGTAAAAATTGTACTTTTTTACATATCAATCAATAAGATTTAATTGTATTTGAACAATACTTTTTCGTAATTTTTCTTTTTTATTGTAAGCAAGTTAATTACAAAGTTGTACGTCAGGTTCGTTGTCACAATACTCTCATTAAGGAAAATTTTACCAATTTTATAAGAGAAACATACATGTACTTAATTTATGTATATGTTATAGTCTTTCGATATATTGTATACAGGGTTATTTTAGCCCCGTGTTATTTTCGCTATTTTACACTTGCTTACACATTTGCCCCGTTTTAAATTCGCCCAGTCAAAGTTCTGTTTAAGAATTTATACTGTGTTCTTTGAATTTGCCCCCGCTTAATAGTCTTTCGATATAAAATATATTTATAACTTATAGTTTTATCAATGATTTACCCTTATTGCAATGACCATTCACAGAAGGGCTTTTTTATGTTGATGCAGCTATATCCCCCTTGTTTTTTTTCTTTTAACAACGGACCTGATGCTATATGCTGTTCTAGAAAAATCCATTTATATTGAGATCATCCTTCTGTATTATAAGTTTATTCAAAATTTTCTAATTTTTATTTCCTATAAAGGTGTGTTTTGGACATCAGGATCGAGGTGGAAAGAAACGAGAGCTTTTGCCCTGACGACATTACGAAAGTTTGGATTTGGGAGGCGTTGTTTGGAAAGCCAGATCATGGAAGAAGTAGATTGTCTGATGGAGAAATTGGAAGAAAATGAAAACGAGGCTTTTGACATTCAAAGTGTACTGAATGCATCCGTAGCTAATGTTATATGTTCGCTTTTATTCGGTAAAAGGTTTGAGTATGAAGACTCGAGATTCAAGCTTTTAATTGACCTGTTGTCCAGATCGTTCAGCAGTGTCACTTTATCTTCTCCAGTATTTCTTTTTCCATCTTTGCGGTACACTGGCATCTTTAACATTGACATATATTTGGAAAATGTTAATGCTTTGAGAGCATTTCTCACGGATATGATAGAGGAGCACAGAAGACATTTTGACGAGGACCACATCAATGATTTCATCGATGTTTTCCTTCTGGAACAAAAACAAAGATCAAACGAAATCAACAATATATTTACAGGTACATGTAATTCACATTTTTTAGCGTTACTACAGTTTGAAACACATTCATAATCAGTCAAAAAATGTCACTCCTCTTCTGTTGAAAAAAATTGGGTGAGAACTTTTTTTTTCAAAATTATGAATTACAATTGATTTTTTATCATGTTCATAACATTTGTGAATTTGACAAAGCAAATTTATCAACATTCAATTTAAAATAACGCTCAAAAGTTCCACTAGAAAACATATTTATGAAGACCTTTTCATGTGGTCAATCAAACTTTAGGGATTTCCTTTTATTTTAAAACCTATGCAATTGATTTGTACTTAAAAAAATGTTTGCCCTAGAATTCTGAACTGAAATTTTTATCATTATACGCCTGGAATTCTCAATTTATTTAAATGATATTTCTATAACAATTTTAAATGAAATCAAAAATTGCTGATATGTTGAAAATGTAAAAACAAAACTTTTTCTTGTCTTAGTGAGGAGTAAATAAGAGGCTTAATTGAACATTTATTGGAAACCGTTATGTATCTTAGTTTGTAAGGATTTTTATGATGTTTCGGAATCCAATATAGATTTTGCAATTCAAATTCATTCTGATTGTTTGGAATATTAAAAATATTCAAAACTGAAATATGATGTAGCAGAATTTCTTACCACTTGTAGAACTGAATCCAAGTTCCTCTAAAATACTTTTAATATAATGAGCCTTACAAAGATAATATTGCTACTTGCTACTTAACAGAGACCAGTACGTACTGATCACGGAATCAATGTAATTCTTTTTTCACCTCTGGATTATTAAATACATATGGGTAGATGGTTTTCATATTGCCCTTCGATCTTCTAATGCGCGATTTTAACATACGTCTAATATATTTAATACATTTTGACAAAGTGTTAAGGTCTTCTTTTTCATGTATAGCGCATTGCTATAATAGATTATGAATTCTGATGCCTCTTAAATTATAAATCCAAGATTCTCATTATCATATTTTCGTCACCAGTAACATCGTGTCCAGCAGGACTCTAGTTATAGGTTGAGGAAGATTATGAACACGATAGTTATGTTTCAGATATTCCGTATCAAGGCACTGTAAAGTATTTTTGTGATTAAAAGGTTTAGATGCAATGGTCGATGTATATTAGGAAATACAAGGTGTAGTCTTTAACTTGAAATATGAGTGACATACTTGATTCTTGTCCTTTTGTTCGTTAATGGTGCGGAAATTACCTAACTGTATATATGTTTTTTTTAATTATGAATCAATACAAATGTGACCATGTTATGTCCTATAAAATACAAAATATTACTATTTTAAAGCATCATTGATATAATACACGATGTTCTTTTTTTTTTTTACAGATGAAAATCTGAACCAAATTTTATTGGACTTCTTTTCCGCAGGAACTGAAACAGCGTCCACAACACTGAGATGGGCGTTTCTATTTTTATTCCATAATCCGCATTGGCTGAAAAAACTTCAAAAAGAAATTGATGACGTCATAGGTCAGAGACAACCAATGATGGAGCACAGGGATCAATTGCCACTGGTAGAGGCATTCATTCTGGAAACTCAGCGACTTGGAAATACTACACCTCTGACGGGTCCACATGCAGCCCAGGAAGACATCACGTACAACGGACACCTCTTTCCTAAAGGTGTCACAGTACTGTTTCTTTTGGATTCCGTATTAATGGATCCAGAAATATTTCCTGAACCTTCAAAGTTTAAACCAGAGCGGTTTTTAGATGACAACGGGATATGTCGTGGAGACCTTAAAGACAAGTTAATCACCTTTTCAGTAGGTAAGAATATGATTTTTTTTAAATATCCAAGAAAAATATATAGAAGAGGTATATATATCACTGACAATACATTAGATCTCACTGAGTGTTACTCAGAAATAACTATTTATCTATGAAAAATTTTATTGTTTTTATTCTAACAGGGCCGAGGATATGTCTAGGAGAAGCACTTGCCAAAATGGAGCTTTTCTTATTCTTCACCAGATTTTTACAGAAGTTTGAGATAAAACCAGAGGATCCCGAGTGTTTACCTTCTCTGGAGGGTGAACTTGGATTAACTTACACACCAAACCCGTTTAAAATGAGGCTTTTAAAAAGACAAAACTTCAAAAGTTAATCACATTGTAAATAGTTATAAGAAAACAATTTATTATTGAATATGAATATATTTACATTTCAAAATATTTTTGCATATTAGAAAATTAATTATTTTCTTATACGTTACCTAGATGAGCAAGATATTTTTACATTGTGTCGTCATAATACCGTTCTTGACTTCAAATTATAGTTTAAACTGTTTTGTAAAAAAAAATGATTGTTTAAATTTTTGGCAAGTCATCATACATGTTATGTAAATATAAGACATAAAGTTTTGAGGATGTCGAGGTACATGAATACAACGCTTTACGCCTGAATACATGTATCTCTCATTAACACTGTTATTCCAGTCATATAAATTCTCAAAATTGAAGTCATCTCCTAAGTATCTGCGATAATACTTTTCCCGTTATATATATTTGTAGATGATAATAAAAAAGATAAACATGAGCACGAGAAAAACGTATCTTGTTTACATTTCTCGAGTACGGTAAAACCCAACTATTACGTCACACATTTGCAAAATAAGCGAAATAAGACATATCTTCAAAATATTTCCGTCAACAAACATGTAAAATCATTTTTTGTGTTCTCTAATTCACAAAATACTACACCATGTACTGATCATGACCCGTTTTAGCTCACCTGAGCTGAAAGCTCAGGTGAGCTTTTCTGATCACATTTTGTCTGGCGTCCGTCTGTCTGTCCGTCTGTCCGTCTGTCTGTAAACTTTTCACATTTTCGACTTCTTCTCAAGAACCGCTGGGCCAGTTTCAACCAAACTTGCCACAAAGTATCCTTGGGTGAAGGGGATTCAAGTTTGTTCAAAGAAGGGCCACGCCCTAATTCAAGTGGAGATAATTGGGAATTAATGAAAATTTGGTGGCATATTTTAAAAATCTTCTTCTCAAGAACCACTTTGCCAGGAAAGATGAAACTTATGGGGAAAC